GGGGGGGGGGCGTGGGCCGCCGGCCAAAACCCCCCCCCCCCCCCCCAGAAAAAGGGGGGGTTTTTTTTTTTGTTTTTTTTTTTTTGGGGGGGGGGGTGTTTGTTTTGGGTTTGTTTTGTTATTGTGGTTTTTTTCTCCCATGAGGAAGCACAGCGGAACACTGGTGATGGAAGCTGCGATACCGTTACGAATCTCTGAAAGAGAAAACGGCAGCGAGGTGGGAAGGAATGAGGAAGGGCTGTGACAACACCGCAGCGGGCTCTCTCGATATTGGCTCCCTCGATATTGGCTCCCTCGAGCCATGAGGTCTATATACGGCCTCAGACTTCCACCTCCTGTTTCCCATAAAATTACAGCGGCGTATAAAACCGTAAAAAACGTCATGAACATCTCAAAGTACTGTGATTTCTCGTAAAGCAGTGCTGGCACTGTTGCAGTGTATTTTGTTCAGAAAAATTGTGTGTTCATCTGCAAAGGGAGAGAACAGTGAGCCTCAAAGAACCCAAAGTATGGTTTCCAAATCACACTGCAGCTTTCCTGTATGCCCTCACTAGTTTAATGCCTTCATTGACAGCTCAAAACCAGGAATTAAAGAAACAAGTTTTTAAATGGCTCGATGGAAAGAGTGGAAGACAATCGGTGGCCCGAGCTCATCTTGAGGTGTAACACCCACCCTACTTGATGCCTCTGCCCCCTCTGAGCCCCTGGTGCAGAGGGGCCCAGGTCAGCTCCCTGAACTGGGGATGTTTCACACCATGGCACGGCTCACCCCCCCCCCATCCGAAGCTGTACAGCACGTAGAGAACTGAGTTTCATTTTACAGTACAGGAAAGCAGAAGAGTGACGAGCCCACATACCTTCAGGAGGTTGTGGCAGCACAAAACAGAGGAGCATCCAAGAACTTGATTTCAAGACTTGATTCCATGTCTGCCTGCTCAGCTGTGAGCACATTACAAAGCAGTTGGTTTGCTTTTCTTTAGGTATGAAAGGTTTTATTCCCCTCACACAGCTCACTATGAAATTTAAAATGCTCATTTCAGCAGCCATGGTTTGGTTTGTACAATTTTGAGATGGGATTGAAATGGTGGGGTTTTTTTAGTTTAGGCTATTTCTTTTGCAGGAGGGGTTTACTTTGGGGTTTTTTTTGGTGGTGGGGTTTCTTGTTTATTGTTAAAAGCACAGTCGATGTTCCATCTGGATTCATTAAGTTTCTACTTCATTTATGAACCAGGTCAGAATCCTGGTCAAGAAAATAATATACTGTCTCAGAATACACTTAAGTGAGAAGGTGAAACATGCTTAAAAAACAGAAAACCATGCAAGTTCCTTTAAAGAAGTAATGGTACCATTAGTGTCACTTATCATCCTGTTATTACATGATGTTTTTTCTTTTAATGAATGAGTCAGGTCACTGTGCATACAAGGAAAGCAAACTACTGACTACATATAGGTGTCTACACATGATTCTGCATAGAAATGCAATAGCATTCAAAGAAATCCCAATTAACTGCAGGACTTTATTCAGTTTTGTCATTTCTCTCCTCATGTTTCTTATTGTTTATAATTATAGACTGTAAACTTAGAGAAGGAAAGAATACATAAAGCACCTTGGGATGTTAAAGAGTTAGTTACATATATACAGCTTTTACACCAAATTACAGAAGAATAAAGTGTGACTGACACAAAAACATGCTGCTGCTCCTGGTATGCAGCACAGAGTGCAAGAGTGAACTGCAGAACTCAGGAATTACCAGAGTTTTGTTTTCGCTCCTGGCTTTCACACACGTAATTCAGCATACCATAACAATCTACCCTAGACTTGTCTTTAGGGCATGACTGAACATGGTCAACATGCCTTTATATTTTTGATACAAATCCTTTCGAACTGACAACCCTTCATTTCAATACAACATAAAAATGCTAGTCCTTCAATTCATCTACCATATAAAGAAAAAGTACACAATATAACCACAGGTGTTTTTTCACCTGTGAGAGCACAGGGAGGGGCACAGTTCTGAAAAATATTGGTCCAAAAAGAAAAACGTAGCTGATCTTTTTTTTCCTCTTAAAATTTCTGCTACTGATTTCAAAAAGGGATAGATGGGACCCATACTGTTCAGCAGCAGAAGTCTGTGCAGAAATTTAGCTGTTAGTTCCCATGTGTGTATTTTTAAGACTGAGTAACCCACATTCAATATATTGACTAACTGAAAGGCAGGTTCCATTTCAGTTCAACTCCCAGCCACCTTTTAGTGAGATTTAGAGAGAATTAAGTTTTAATGCTACCAAAGAACAATTGCAAATTGGCTTTTTTCTTTTTTTAATACATTTTTTTCAGTAAGTCATGTGATAGCTTCCCAGTAAGAAGGAAACTGCATTTCAAGATGATTACTGTACTTCCGTGTTTTCTTTGCCATTTATTCTTTCTGCTGAAGACTGACTGGAGCAACACACACACACATAAAAACCTCAACCTAAAAACAATGCTGTAATTAAGTATTCTGAGAACATGCTGTTTCCTTGTTCAAGGCTTATAATTAAGTTAAATCATGTTTCATTTTCATGTCCCAGTTTTAGGGTTTTTTTTTTGTTTGAGAGCATTTTTAAACGAGTGACATTTTTGCTGTTTAAAGATATGAAAGTTTTAAAGGCAGTGGTTTTATTTTTTAAAATCTTAAGACACAAAACAAGATCTTTTGTGTGCTTTTTTACTGTGTACCGTATTAACATTATTTTCTGAAATGCCACAAATTTAGGTTGCTACTATTATTACTTTGCAGTACTGCAAGCAGATATTCTTATCAACTAAGACAAAAAGCTGAAGGCAAACCTATGCCTTTGACTCTGTCAGAATAAATTCAGAGTAGTTCCGTTGAAGCTGCCCAAATTCTGCCATGTTAATCCAAAAGTCCTTTGTTTCCAATTGCATATGCAGTTTCTATCATCACAACTGCTGCTGTTTTCTCTTTCAAATTCATGTTAAATGAATTCATGCAAAGGTTTCAAACAGGTTCTTGCAGATTTGGGTGCAGTACTTCAAGATATTACTGCCCCCACCTGTCCACCCTGTACTATTCTTCTCCTGAAGGTAAACATCTCTGAAGCAAAACAGGACTTGCGTTCACACCAATCCACATCAGGGCATGCTGTCTCTTTTGGTAGCTGTGGATACCACCACCACTGACCATTTGTCAAAGGTGCAAAGCAACTAAAGGATCATCTACCCTGTGGAATTTTGTCTAGATGCAGAAGTATCAATGCAGACATGTTGGATAAGTACTGGTATGAAACTGGACTGGTGTTTGTATGACTAAATACCTTCAGGCAGCACAGCATATCCATATGAAAGCCCCACAGCTCCTCAACGTAACACCTGACCTCTGTTTCCTGACTGCCTCTGCAGAACAGAACTGCTGTGCAAAATAGTTCCTCCCTGGGCTGGGGTAAAGGCCATACGATGCAGGGAGCTCTCCAGCTATGGATTTGTAAAGCACGTTATTCCGTATTTATCTTGAATCCCACCCAAAATGATGTTAAAAATAAAATGACGAAATAAATTGAGATTGCTTTTAGAGGAGGACGCTATTCATACAGCACTAGAAGAGAATGTTTTACTAGGTTATCATGAGCAAAATACAAAATAGGCCTAAAGTTTCTTTCATAATTCTGGTAAAGTCAGTAGGTCATTGCAAGGGGATTTCCTTAGCAAACAAAATTACTCAATGCTAGCAATCACAACTGATTAAAAATAAGTATGTGGAAGAGAAGTACTGCTGCAGGCAAATGCTATAATGGAAGGAAAAAAGCAAAATATACGTAATAATAATTTTAAAATTGCATAAGCAGGAAGACAGGTGATACCTGGAATGTAACCTTAAATTTCATCAGATATGCTGGGCCAAAAGCTTGTATTTCATATCTCTACATAACATCTTGCTTTGAGATGAGCTCAAAACACAGGATTTAGGTTTCAGGTCACCACCTTCTATAGCACAGACACAAAAAGTGGAAGGATCTTTAAAGCCAACATGGCCAGATTTCTAAAGACAGGTTCTTTAGAAGGTGGAATTCCCACAGCTTTTATTCTCTTCATTTTTTAAACAATTTTGAAACAATCCTAATCTATTTTTAAGATTACATAACACTGACCATTGTCGTTTACCTTTTGTTTCATGAGCAGCAAAGTCACTGTCTGAAGACCAGGTATGGTGCTGTCCAACCTCGCCATCAACTCTCATTAAAACTTACTTAAAACATATTGAGAATCAACGCCAATTCTCTGGCACTTACAGGAAATTAGCCTTTCTTAAAGGTCTAAAGCTAGACAGTCATCTGTCTGCAAATGTACAGCCACAATGCAATGTATGAAAAAAGCCTCGTCCCAAAAAGCCTAAAATTAAATCCCTCAAAACGTGCGTATTGCAGGTAACAAAGAGTTTCTCCCCTGATGGAAGTTTGAGAGGCTCACTGAGCCTGTGTACTTGGCACTTTACCAGCTGAGTGCAGTACACACCAAGTAGAGCAAACTAAATATGAAACATACTGTTTTAATGAGTGTTTTCTGTGCAGGTGACTATTACGAGAATCTCAACATAGGTTTATAGCTGATGAATTGGATGACTAAATGGATTTGGAGTTGAAACAGCTGGGAGCTAGATTTCTTTTTCTAACTCAAGTGCCTC